GCTGAGCTTTTTGGCAGATATTCTCAGCCAACACGTCCAAGATGAGGGTAAACCTGTGATACACATCTTTATTTGGAATGTCCCTGGACATGCTGCTCGCTGTGACAGAGAAGGAGCGAGGACTCTGGGCTTTCTGATACACGCGCATACTATTCTAATTGAGGTATAGTCAAGTACACACACATATAAAGCAGAGTATGTAGATATATATATATATATATATATACAATATCTCAAATTTGCATCTCTGCGAAAAAGTTTCCTTGCCACCGCTTGAGATATGCTAGGCATCTGAGGCTCAGACTGCGCGCGGCTTAGGGACATTTGATGGTCCACAACGTCACCACCATCTTTGACCGAAACTGCATGGAACTCGATGGGCCTCTGCACTTCCACAGAAAGTCTACAAAAAGCACCGGCCGACCACAGCACGTTACAGCAAGACAGGTCTGGATGTCTGACCCATCACTGGGCATCTGCAAGACAGCCTGAAGACCTCAACACACAACAAGCAGCACAGCCGGCGAAGCAGAGCACACCTCACTCTGAGCACGGGTCTGACTGGCCAAAGCAGCTCGCAGGCCCGCGGTGGTGCCTTGGCCATGCGTCCACTATGGATGCCGCGGATGCCTGCAACTTCTGGAGATCTTCCTTCACGTCAGCACATGTCGGCATCCGCCTTTTGCAGTTTGCAAAAAACTAGACTCATACTCTGAGATGGTGGGTGAAAACGTTACTGCGCGGCTTTTCCGCACGAACGAATTTCGCCTGCATCTGCGGAACCTCGAAACATCTATTCCAGTTCTGGTGCGCGACATAGTCTTGCATGCGAGGTTGACTGCGGACGACCCAGCTTAACCCCCAAGATCCACTTTGTTTGAAATCGCTACGCCGCTACGCATGGGAACCTTCAAAAGTCAAGAGCTCCTCTCACACTCGACTCCAGAGTCGCCTCCAAGGACTTCGAGGAGGGCTTCTCACGGGCTACTCACGGGCTACTCATGGGCTATTTATGCCTAGTTCTGCAAGACTGGCTGTCTGTGGACAAGTCGCATCAAGACTGCATTCGTCCAAGAGCTGCTGAAGGTGCAGGGGCGCCATCTTCACAGCCGTGTCCTGTATCGGCACTGCTCGCATTGGTCCGGACGGTTATACAAGACAGAGAAACTCGCCAAACTAAAAAACAGCAGGTCCTTCTGATTCATCAGGGAAGTCAACTCTTCTCTCCTGAAAGCACGGAGACCACTGAAGTGACGCAGTTGCTGCAAAGCATCCGGCTTGCCTTGCTGCTTGGAGCGTCATGATCTGGATGTTCTTGGCAGCTGCTAACGTCGCGTTGTTGAGCGCATTTGCAGCTGGACCGCTTATTGCTGTTTGGAGGGAGTTGGCTGCCTGGCAGGGCGATAGTACACGAGGGACAGGAGACAAGGGCCACGTGGTGCCGCATGACTAGAATCCTGCCTCAAACGGGTCGGACTCGAATTGGAGTAGCGCCGACTCGATGGCCTTCTTTGCGGCCTCTCGATCCTTCTGCTTGGAGCTCGTGCCTCTGGTGAGAAAACATGGGCTAACGGTTAGCATCCCTCAACATCCTGTGAAAAGCAGAACAACACACTCCCCCGTGCCTCGTTGCGTTCCTCCGATGGCGAGGCTGCCCCAGATGTTCACTTGCCTGCAGAGCACAACTAAGCCAAAGAACGAAGTAAGAAGGGAAGTGGTTGGTCATGCCTGGCTAACTGTCTGCAGCCAGGCCGCACGCCAAATTCACCGCGGAACTTGCTCCAAGCTTTACTTAGCGCAGACTTTGAGTCTTCCAGCGCCGATGCCAAGGCTTCTGCCTCCCAGCCAGATCATCATGAAATGAACTGGATATGACAAGCAACTGTTGCGAGCACGGGCTGGCCTCACTCGCACCCCAGGTCCTTGGAGCACCTTCAGTCAGCAAGTTGCGATAGAACGACTCTGGGCGACATCTCCTCTTCAGAACTTATGCAAGGAGGCTGCGCAAGAGCCGTTCAGTCTTCGCGCGTCTTCGCATGGGTTCGCATGTCGGCTTCGACACGTGTGTTCCACATTGGGCTGCCTTTCACTGGCAAGGCATGGGGGCTTGCTTCAGACGTTTCAGACGTTTGCTGTCGTTTGCCCTGTTCCTCGTTTAATTGAACGGACAGGCGTTGAATGATTCGACCTCCTCTCTGAAGATGGACTTGGCGGTCCAAGCAAGAAGGTTGCGTAAAACAAAGAGCGCTTCTTTCACAAGACAGACCGGTTTCTCCGATACTCTTGCTAGAACACACAATCTGTTGAGAAGTTGTTCTGAGAGGTTTTTTGAGAGAAATGCCCGGAGCGTGCATGGGGACTTCCGGCGTGGTCCGCAGCGACTGGCCAACGCCCTGTGCATCCCTGTGCCTTTTCGTGCGCCATCCGCCCCCTTGCACGGGGACCGCGTCACTGCACTGAGACCACGTAGTGCCAGCAAAAGGATCGGTGTCAAACAAAAAAAAAAGGTTCGCACTTCGGGAGCACTTTTTCATCCGAGGCCGGCACCTTTGAGAGAGAGAGGCGCAATGGGGGGTTCGAAGATGGTCTCTTCCGCGGCCTCTGCAGATGCTCAGACATGCTCAAGTACAGGAACGTATATGCGCTGTTTGGCAACGGAACAAACAGATTTGAAACAACCGTGTGCTTCCCTAAACGTGCACAGCACTCTCTGCGACAATGGTTTTGGCCAGCTTAATTCGGACTCCGTTTGGACAAAGGGGAAAGCATTGGAAGAAAGATGAAGAAAGCCGACGTGCCTTGTCCAGGGCATATCCTGACCGACCGCCATCTTCTACCCGACTTGTTGTCTCGCCCTCATCCTGCGTGCCCATGAACAAACCAAGGTGGATGCTGAGACAGTTCTTGCGAACGGGCCTTTTCACATGGTCCACAACCACAGTTTTGCTGACCCATCCTGGATGAACGCGTGCTTTCACAGAAACTGAGCGCAGTCCATCCTGACATTTTCCCTACTGACCGAGGCACGGGCTCCGGGCAGTACGGACGACTTGCGTTACGCACGGCGCGTCACTATCTAGCTACTGTCAGATGCGAATTCAAACTTGGGCCATGCGGGCTGCAGTTGTCTTGCTAAGCGACAGCACCTTGTCCTGGACCATATTACAGAAACAGGCGGAATGCATCTACAACATTCTCAGGGCGCAACAGTTGCCAAGTCTCGCTGGCACCTGATTTCCAAATTGGGGAACATCGGGGACTTCCAAACATGCGAGACCATCGTGGCCTCGCGTCACGTCTGGCTTCGGGTTTGCAAAGCTGCGTTCCCGTAAGTGCAGAGCACTGTACCCAAAACCTGAGCTCCGCGAAGCTGCAGCTGCACCTCAGTATCTCTGCGGGGCGTATCTAACACATCTAGAAAAACAACCTTGCGAATGCCTATCATGCTATACGTAGATGTTTACGTGATCAATGGTCATCAAGTGACCCCGTGATGTGGTGGTGGGGTTTTGGGTTTCGGGTCTGAGGTTGAGGGTGTTTCGAACTGTCTCCATGGAAGCACCCACCACTTGTGCACCAGCCCTCGCCTCGACTTTTGCGGGTTTTTTAGGGAAGTGTTTCCACACTTTCTGATCTCCGGGAGATCAACAACTTGTGGCGCATACTTTAATGATGCAGATCTGTCCCAAGGTTTGGCTATGGGTCCGGCTCCAAGTCGACAGCTTTGCGAAGCGTAGAACATAATGACCGTGACAGCGGAAAATTGCTTGGAGGCAGCAAAACTCCAGGGCGCACATAAGGAAACACTGGGAGGACCCTGGGAGGTCTGGAGGCATTTTGCACTTGCAATCCAGAACCAGTGAAGTTGGTCCATGGGTTCAAGATATGGAGAGGCCTGTGTAGCACAAGAGAGAAACAATAGAAATAGCCTTGGAGTACGACGAATCATGTTTGACTTGCTGTGCAAAAACAGCAAGTCAATAAAGTCCAAACACAAGTCCCGGAACTCAAATATAAATTAAAACGCCAAGTCCTAGAAATTATGGCTCCAGAGACCTGTCCCAACTGATTTATGCTTCAGGAATATGAGAGGGTCACTTCTGCGACCAAAATCTCGGCATTGTTCGCCCAGAAGAGGCTTCGAATGGCTTGGAAGAGGCCCAGGAGAGGCCCGACCCCCCCTGTAGGAGAGATTGAATCAATCCGGGGGGGGGGGGAAATTATTGGGAAGTCAACATTAGGCTGGACTTAAATTGAGCTTCTGCTGAAACACCCGCGCCCTTGTGGTCAAAGTTATGATTTCGAGAGTTTACTGTCTACTTCAGACTTGATTCCATTAGTCGAATGTGCGTTTACAATGTGCAGACAACTGGTCAGTGACAGTCATATCAGTATCATCGAGAGTCTGATCCAAGCAACTCCAGAATGATATGGTGGCATCAGAAGGCCTTCGAATGCAGCGTTTCTGGAAATCTGTAGAAAGCTTGCTTCTTGTCGTGGGGAAGGGAGGGCGACCATAGACAGAGTAACACAAGAAGGAAATTTAAAAAAAGAAAGAAAGAAAGAAAGACAGAAAGAATAACAAAAAGAAAAACAGAACGAGAGAGCGAGAGAGACAGAGATGCATACGTGCAAATACAGCAACATGTGTGAGCGACCTTCGGGTCTACATGGACACCTGGATTTTGAAAACTTTCAGCATTTTGGTTCACCCGGCATCTTTGTGAATCATATTAATATGTATTTATACATATCTTGGGGAGGTAGCATACATATGTATATATATATACATGCTCGCCAGGTGCCCCGGACCTCGTTTCGCACCAGGCCACCACCAGACGCCGCAACATGTCCAAAGTCCAACGTCAGGCACCCTTCGCCGGGTGGCGGCCTCTGCTGTGGTATTCTGTCTGGAGATTCGACTTCTAAACGGCCTGCACTTCCCCACCTGAAGACGGGCTCGCCACAGTCTTCATCCACCTATGCTGCATGCTACTGGTCTGCTAAACTCCTTGATGAAGGTGTCGCCATCAGGAACGTGTTCCATGCACTAGCTGGTTGCTCACCTCCAGCTGCCCTCCGACTCCCTCCAGCCTGAGTCACCATTTTTGACAAAACGGAACCCACTTGTCTGAGCCACACTATGTGCGGAGCCTGGGTGGCGAAAGGCAGCGCCCATCTGTGGGCCTCGGATCAATGGAGATGTGCCCCTCAACAGACGTCTCATGGCTGGGTCATGCTGCGCCTCTTTTTTCCATGCGCCGGGTGTCAAAAAAATGGGTCATACAAGTCGTCCTCACGCGACAAGGCGTCCGCGTCTATTGTGCAGCCTGGGGCAACAAAGAAGAAGCATGCATTGCAAAAAGGACGAGCAATCAATCTGGTTCTTGTTGTTGCGCTTTGGTCCAGTTGTTTGGTCCGGGTCTTTACCTAGCAAACCCTCCACTTCCTCTAGGTTCTAGTGCTCCCGCCTCGGCGCGGGCGTCGCCACGCTTCGAAACGGTCATCGCTTTAATATGTTCTGTCTTGAGAGCAAGAGATAAAAATATACGTGTATACATACACACATATTATGCAACCGAAGGCCTATAGTTGAGGGCTCAGGGAGGGACCGGCAGAGCAGAGGACCAGAAGCAGAGGTCCAAGAGACCAAATGACCAAAGACCAGAGGACCAGGGAACAAAACTACCAAAAAATGCGGGGGCAAAAAGCATTTCCAAAATCAAATGTAAAGCAGAGGGGTTTGTTGGAGGGGGCGGGCAGGGGTGGGGGGGGAGGGTGGGGGGGGTGCACCCACCCCCTCTTCGAACACAATGCTCGCATGCCGGGTTTTGAAAGGGTTCGTGTGGCTTTAACGCAAATAAAATCCTCCTAATGGCATGATCTTCTTCATCAACTAAGCTTACACGGCTGAAATACAATTTAAAAAAGGGGAAAGTGGGGTGAAAGCCCCATATGCAAATCACAATGTCCGCATCATGGGTTTGGAAAGGATTCTTGCGTGTGTGTGTGTGTGTGTGTGTGTGTGTGTGTGTGTGTGTGTGTGTGTGTGTGTGTGTGCGTGCGTGCGTGCGTGCGTGCGTGCGTGCGTGCGTGCTTGCGCGTGGGTGGTGGTGCGTGTGTGCGTGTGTGTGCGTGCGTGCGTGCGTGCGTGCGTGCGTGCGTGCGTGCGTGCGTGCGTGCGTGCGTGCGTGCTTTCGTGCTATGCGTTCGTGCGTGTGCGCGTGGGTGCGTGTGGTGCGTGGGTGCGTGGTGCGTGTGTCGTGTGTGCGTGTGTTCGTGTGTGCGTGTGTGCGTGTGTGGTGTGCGTGTTGGTCGTGTGGGTGTGTGTGTGTGTGTGTGTTTGTGTGGGTGTGTGTGTTGTGTGTGTTTGTGTGTGTGTGTGGTGTGGGTGTGTGTGTGTGTTGTGTGTGTGTGTGTGTGTTGTGTGTGTGTTTGTTGTGTGTGTGTTTGTTGTGTGTGTTGTGTGTGTGTTTGTTGTGTGTTGTGTGTTGTGTGTTGTGTGTTGTGTGTTGTGTGTTGTGTGTTGTGTGTTGTGTGTTGTGTGTTGTGTGTTGTGTGTTGTGTGTGGTGTGGTGTGTGTTGTGTGTTGTGTGTTGTGTGTTGTGTGTTGTGTGTTGTGTGTTGTGTGTTGTGTGTTGTGTGTTGTGTGTTGTGTGTTGTGTGTTGTGTTTTGTGTGTTGTGTGTTGTGTGTTGTGTGTTGTGTGTTGTGTGTTGTGTGTTGTGTGTTGTGTGTTGTGTGTTGTGTGTTGTGTGTTGTGTGTTGTGTGTTGTGTGTTGTGTGTTGTGTGTTGTGTGTTGTGTGTTGTGTGTCCGTGTGTGGTGTTGTGTGTGTGTGTGTGTGTTGTAGTGTGTTGTGTTTTGTTTGTGGTGTGTGTGTGTGTGTGTGTGTGTGTGTGTGTGGTGTGTGTTTTGTTTGTGTGTTGTGGTGTGTGTGTGTGTGTGTGTGTGGGTGTGTGAGTGGTGTGTACTTGGGTGGTGTGTGTTGATGTGTGTGTGTGTGGTGTGTGTGTGTTGGGTGTGTTGTGTGTGCATGTGTGGTGTGTGTGTGTGCTGATGGTGTTGGTGGGTGTGGGTGTGTGTGTGTGTGTGTGTGTGTGTGTGTGTGTGGGTGTGTGTGTGTGTGTGGGTGTGGTGTGTGTGTGTGGGTGTTGTGTGTGTGTGTGTGGGTGGGTGTGTGGTGGTGTGTGTTGGTGTGGGTTTGTGTGTGTGTGTGTGTGGTGTGTGTGTGTGTGTGTGTGTGTGTGTGTGTGTGTGTGCGTGCGTGTGTGTGCGTGTGTGCGTGTTAACCCAAGTGCTCTTCATGACCTTATCTTCTGTGTGTGTGTGTGTGTGTGTGTGTGTGTGTGTGTGTGCGTGCGTGTGTGTGCGTGTGTGCGTGTTAACCCAAGTGCTCTTCATGACCTTATCTTCTTATTCAAGCTGGCTTCAACCATGCTCCCTAATTCAACACATGAAAAAGGAATTGGGGGGGGGGGGGTCGCAGCCCTTGCTTCCTTTATACCTCGAAGTGTGGTTAAATACTTGCCTGTTTGCTTCTGTATGCATGTTTTGACTTTGTAGTGCTTCTTGCTTATTTCTCTCCTTAGCTATGTATTTGCTTGCATCTTTATGTCTTTCTGTCGTGTGTTCTGTTCGCTTTCATTATGTAATTCCTTATTTCTGTCTTTCCTTCTGTCTCTCTTTCTTTCGTTCTGTCTGTATTTCTTTGACTTTCTGTATGTCTTGCTTCCTTCTCTGATTCCACCCTTCTTTCTTCTTCTGCGGAACAACATCAACTAGATCTCGCAATGCTCTTTTTAGTCTATATTTGAATAGGAACACGTTTAGCTCCTCTATGATTTAATAGCAAAGCCTCAGCTTCCTTCTTAACTTTTCGGAGGCGAAATTCTATTTGTTGGATAGTGCCCCCCCCCCCCCCCCCCCCCCCCCCGGCCCCCCAACATAAACAGGGCTAAAGATGCGAAAGACAAAACACAACAATGCGACAAGCACCACGACTGATGCGGATAGGCTCAGCCCGGAACCGTCTTCTGCGGAGCAGCCCAGCCACGGGTGGGACATGCATTCCTCCATCGTGATGCGCTTTGACACATCCTGCCATCGTTGAGCCACGACCCTTGATGGCCTACTATGTATGCTCCACAATCAGCTCCTACACGACCACGCCTTCTCCAGCATTTTGTCCAGGAGATCTTTAGCTTCTTCAGAGCAATGGACCAAGGCACGCTTGTCGTACTCAGACCTCGTCTGCTGTTGTCTCACAAGATTCAAGAGGCATAACAGGGTGCCAGGCCTGATGATCTCCAATTCCGTCCTGCATGCTCCGCTCGAGCAAGGCACTGAGTATCGCCAAAGATGCATGTCAATGGCGCGACATCGCGAGCAGGGTTAAAGCTGGAAATGCCTGAACGGCAGAGATCCCGTCAGGCAGGTGTACAGGCAAATGCCGGCGGACCTTGAACAAGCATGCGCAATGCTGCAAGATCTGTCTCTGAAGAGGAGCCCCGCACCAAACATCCACCTTCGGGCAGAATAGTGGCTCCGACCTGCTCTCCGATGCTTGTCCTACTGGCCGACTCACACGCAGTGCAGAAAATGCCTGGCATCGGCTGCTGATGGCGACAACACAGAAACGCCTGCATGCACAGCACGATCAACATCTGGCTTCCTTCCCCCCTCCTCCCCCCCTCCCCTCCTTCCTTCCGCTTACCCCTCTCTTCCCCCGCTCTTCTTGCCCCCTCATCGAAAACAACAACCACAAAGTGACTGCTCAAACTGCGATTTCACAATTGCACGCTCCCTCGAAACGAAACCAACATAACGGAGCCTACCCAGTATTGTCATAGGCGGCCACGCGCGCCATGCGGGTTAGCAACGGACTTTCTTCAAACTGAACTCTCGAAACGTCCCAAAAAATGACTTCGCAACAACCTGACCTGTGCCACATGCGTTTGCTTGATTTCAAGACGATTGCCAACCGTTGCCGTCAGCAGGAAACATGGCGCACGACACCAACATGTCTTACTGCAGCCACTCCGTGAGAAAGCCCTGCCTGGCTGCGGGCCATCCCAACTGAAGGTCGCATGAACTGCTCCAACCTTCGTCCAGAAATGTGGCAGAGCTCGCTTGCAAGGTGCGTGCTAAGTCCACGGCATGTCCCAGCTTTGCTTTGGCAACTTCAGGGGCCATAATGGTCCTGGGCTTTCTGGTATTGTCTGCTTATTCATCATATTCCTAGTGTTTGGTGTAGCAACTTAGGAGCAGACGGAGTGCCGACAACGGTTTTCAGGGGGCCGTGGCCGATGCATTTGGCGACCTCTGTGATTTGCTACGGCCATCCAGCCACCCACAGCTGTCCACAGCCGTCCCCCAACTCCAAGCACATTCCAAGCACTGCTGGCACCAAGCACAACGCTCCGAAGTCGATCAGCTTCACTTGACTGTGCAGGTCGATCACGTCGCCCGTGACCATGACATTCCTTCAAAAGCGGCAGAGTCACACATGTAAACATGCCAAGCTGCAACAAAAGAAGCCATTTTTAAAAGTCGACTCGGCCCCTTGTTCCTCGAAACCACAAGCAACCCCCATGCGCACCACTTCTCAGGGACTTTCCAGGGACCTAACCTTCAAAGGGCTTTTTGGACTCTTAGGCCGAGGTCGAGGGCGGTTGGGGCGAGGCTCCAAAAGCATTCCAAGGCGCTCGGGCTTCAGGTCCCGGTGGATGATGCCACGAGAGTGCATGTAAGACAGCCCGTCCAAGACCTGGAGAGAAAAAAAACAATCTTCCTCCTCTTCCTCTGCTTCTGAACCACACTCTTGAATATCCGAATAACACAGCGTTGCTCTTTTCCAAAGTTCTGGGGGGCCTGAAGGAAGACGTGCCTGGCAACCGACTCTTTCAGAGGCCCTTGGAACGCAATGTGTTCTGCCAGCTCCTTGCCCTGCACCACCTAGGGGGATGCGAAGCTTTGGAAGCTTTGGGGGAAGAGCTTTGGGAAGAGCATTCTCAGGATGCTGGGGGAACCAAGTCAGGGAGTGCTGTTCGGCGCTGTTCTCTACCGGCCTCCATGACCACGACCTTGTACCGGGGTCTGACTTTTCCGGTGCCGTCCACAGTGTTCACACTGGCCGTGGACAGCAGCCCAGCCTCGTCTAGGCCCTACACGATCCCCTTCAACGAACACAGCAGCGGCAAGTCCCGAGCTATGTTCTCATGTTTGCCGAGCATTCTCAGCGTGTCGAGCTCGCCATTAATGGATGCGAGTTTTCTTTCCTGACCAGAAGCAGCTACTGCGAACTTGCTGCCTGCTCTAGGCATGTCTCGGCTTGCACCTCGCAGCCAGGCTCGAGGACAAGTCGCCACGTGGGAATGACCTTTTTGTCAGGTAGGTCTGAAAACATCTGCACATGTACGATGTCGCCACAGCAAGACACAGCCATCAAAAGTGAAACAGCCTTAATGGCCACAGACTCGCCATCTTCGGCTTCGCCTCTGTACCTCACCGCCGAAGCATGTTAGCTTTCTAGCTGCAGTGCTTCGGAGAAACTCGGCTCCGCACACGGTGCCCTGGCAAAAGATTCCAGAAGTTTTGGGTGTCATTTGGGGGCCCTTACAATCAGGTGCCGTACTATATAAGGGCCAAAAACGAACCTAATTTAGCGAACTACTCGTAGTTTCATATATGTCGTCCTACGTCGTCCTGCTTCTTCTGCAGGGACGGCCCGTCTGACCGGAGATTCCGACTCCCCCATAAAGAACGTGAAAGACAGCGTGCAACAAACCTACTGCCACATACTACCCTTTCAGGAAACAGTTTCCCCGCGGTATGCCTTGTCATCCCGCTTTGCTCCGTGTGAGACAGTCGATCTATGCCACGCTGATCCCTGCATCTATGGCCAAGCACCCCCGTTAAGATCGACTTTGGCCGCAGACTCTCTCTCCCTCTCCCTCCCTCTCTCTCTCTCTCTCTCTCTCTCTCTCTCTTCTTTCTTTGGGGCATGGAGGGGAACCCTCCGCGCGATTGCGCGCCCCGGTCCTGCTTTGTCTCTGTGCTATCACCCACAAGCGGCTCATTGGCCACGCAGCGTGTCACACAGCAGGGGCCTGTTGCCCCCCCTCAGCCTTTCACAGCCGGCTCCTGTTATCGGCCCCCTATTCGGGCCTCAGGCAAGGTTATCGGCCCCCCAACTGTCCCCCTTCCCTTCCATAGTCAACGTGCATCCCCCTACCCGCCCCCCTGCCAAAACCCTTACCCCTCAACACGTACAAGGCCTCGAGCAACCTCCCGAAAGTCAACCTCCCACTCCCCCAACCGGCTCAACCCCTTCTCCTCGCGAGCACCCTCAGCCCTGTTGCCGACCCGAAACCCAAGCCGAAGTCAACTTCCGTCCCGAAGTGAACCTCCCCTCCCCCACCCCTCTTATCCATACTGCTGTGAGGCACTGTTGTGACTGCTGCGCACCTCCCCTCGGACTAAAACACGGACGGTGCACCCAGTAGCCTACACCTATATGGGGAACGTTCTCCCGGGGAGATGCGTGGGTGTTGTAGCCCCCATGTAGCCCCCATGTCTCTCTCTCTCTCTCTCTCTCTCTCTCTCTCTCTCTAGCAAATTGTCTGCACACCATTCCACATCTTGGCTTTGAAGGCTGGCGGCCTGAGCTCCGGATCCCAGGACTTGGTCGAAGAAAATCTCGTACCGCTGGCCGTCCTCGTAGCAGATCTCGGACACCCTCAGAGGAGCAAAGCACACTGGCTTGAACTTCTCCTGGAAGTGACACCTCTTCACTACGCCTCGTTGCAAAGCAATGCTAAGCCTGGCTCTCGTCAAGCCCTCTCAGGCCCGTCGTAAACCTCGTTGAAACTCACTTGGTGGACACTTTGGCAGGCATTCGTCAGGCATCGGCCTCCGGAGGCGACGGCAAAGGCCAGCCAGCGAGGCTGCGGCGGCGCCCGCAGTTCTGAGCCGCGAGCTCGACGAGCTGGGCGAGCTTGGCGAGCTCGGCAAGCTCGCTGGGCTCGGGCGCGTATATGTCCAAGACGTCCGAAGCCGAGGTGTCCGCCAATAATCAGCCGAGCGCAGCCCAGGGAAAAGTTCAGGGAGACACGCCATGTGTCGTATGTTTTTTTGCAAAAGCCGTGGAAGTGTCAGCCTGGAGTTCGTGGTAGCTTGTGCCTTCGCCTGTGTTGTTTGAGCTGGGTTGGCTGTTAGTAGTAGGCCGAAACCCGGCATTGCGCTCATGATGCCCTGATGCTCGACATGACTCTTGTGTACACTTAGGCTTGGACCAATAGTTGAAACGCAAGCAGTTGATGGAAGTTTGCCAGGACCTGCTGCCCTTTCTGAGTCGAACTCGTGACTGTGCAACGGCTGAGGCCATTGCATGAACACCAGGGGTGCCCCAATGTCTAGCTGAAAGCGCGCCTCAGCGACATAGGCTCGCACAAGATGAAATGCCTGTAATTTCATGGCCGGTTAAGCCGCAGACTCCTGGTTGTTCAACCTCCGAACCAACCGTACCAATAGCCAGCCCAATCATACACAAGTCCAGACATGCCAGCTTGAAAGTGGGCAACACTCATTCGAAAGTGGACATCATGCGGGGCCAGTGGTCACAGCCTTGTGACTGCTTGCGGCATCAGGCTTTGCTACCTGAGCTGCTGCACATCTTTACCAGCTTCCGGCCACGGCTGACACACTATACACACACTTCACTTGCGCCGGTCTCAGCTGCAGACCTGACTGTTGCTTTCGGTAGGAAGTGCCTCCGGAAACATCGAAGCTGCACTATTCACACCAACACAGACAAACCCATCGCCTCCGGCCATCGTCTTGACCTGAAGCTACCAAAGCCCGGAAAAGCTCAGCACCTAGTTTCACGCTGGGTTTCCAGACGGCAGGGCTTCCTTAACTGCCTTGCTCACGAAGGCCACAAGCGTGTCGTAATCCCTCTGCCTCTCAGACAGGCGTAGACTCTACAATCAACACTGAGCATGGGACACCGATCCTGAAGAGGATACAAATCTGGGCCTCAGTTCCAGATGCTAAGTTCACACGGAACATGTGCCACGAGGCCAACTACAAGGATGGGCGGGGGCATCTATCAAGATCCAACACCATCAGCGACCTGCTTTTCCAATCAGAGCTTGCTTTGGCTCGTCAATCCATGGTAGATCTAGTGGTGACCTCCTTGCGTGCTGCTCGAAACTTGTCCCAAACAATTGGGTTCTTGGCCATGGCAGGCAGACGTGGACGAACATGCCCGTCCAGAATGAGCAACATTCCTTCACGGACATCCTCATATTTTCGGAGGGGTGCGAAAAGCATGGATACTTGAGATTCCGGCACTTGCTGGAGCAGCGATTCTACCATGTGTCGTAGCACCAGTCCCAAAATGCCACGCAAGCCCTGGCTCCCGCCGCTGTCGTCGTTGTCGCCGCCAAATCGCATGAAGCGAACAATCGCAACTGGAAGCATCACACTACTGGAAACCATCATTGAGGCGCAAAGCTCAGCCAAGCACACCGCTGACCGCACTCCGTAGGTATGCGCTTGCTGTATGTGCTGCACGGCTGCTCGCTTCATGCCATGTGAGAATCTTTTCCCTGCAGGTGCCGGGAGGCTGCACAGCGCATGCGCAACATGACCGTAGAAGGCGTTCGGTGCCTTTTCGCGTATGGCGCAGTGAAAGAGGACGACGCAACACTCGCCACAGCCGGCCTTCGCAGCAGATGCTGCGACGGACAAGCGCTCAGCTGCGTCTTGAAAATCCTCAGCTCCCATGAGCGCCACAAACAAGTTCTGGCGCAGCTCTGACGTCAGGCGTTGTGCAATGGCCGCCTCTCTGAGCGGATCAGAAACTGCGCCGCGTGTGGCTTTTGCCAAGATGGTAGAGGCACCTCCCTGCAACGGCCAATTGGGCGGAGCTGCATCTTGCAGCAGGCGGAAGGGGACCGAAAGCGCATGGTCCTCCACCTTTCTTCCTGCTAACAATGGTGCCGTTTGAAGCCATCCCTGCGTTTGCTTGAATCGATCCATAACAGAAAAGGAAACTTTGTTGTTCTTCAGGTCGGACAACTCTCTCAACAGGTAGTCCAAGCGCGATTTGATCTCAGAGCCTTCCTCAGACGTTTCCCTTGCATTGCTTGCTTCTGAGTTGACAAACTTGAGAACTTCACGGAAGTCTTCTGGGCACTCTGACCGCAGTTTGCGGCCACCATATCGCAAGATTGCAAGAGCCAGATCGACAGAGAGTTCTGAAGCAGATCTGGCAAATACGAAGCGCACGACGTCGAACACAACGCTTCCAGGAAGAACTCCAAAGCTGAAAAGCAGCATCTGGAAGATGATGCTGTTTTTGGCAACACGCGCATCAGGATTCTGTAGCTCTTCTTCTGCTTCTGCAAGCTTTTCACGATTTTCCAAGCCCGCCGCCATCCTTTCCTTGAGGATCTGGGCGCTCTTCAGCAGAGCCGCGGCCCCAAACGCCGGCCCCAACAGCACGTGGCAGGCGGCCACAAGCGCGGCGAAGCAGCCCAAGACAAGAACAGAAATTGCGGGGTCCTCGACAGCGGCCTGCAACAAAGCGTCAGCCAGCTCATCCGCTGCTTTGGCCGAACCTATTGCTGGCACCAGCTTGCCGAGCAACTGCACAAGTTCGTTGCAACTGGGATCCAGGTTACCCTCAGACACTCGATTCATGATACCTTTCAGCTGACGCAAGTGCTGCAGTTGCAGGCCGTCCTGTGTCCTTTTGCCTCGCAGATGCGGAGGAACATAACGGCCATCATTTTCAGCCTTGGTCGTGGCAGCGTCCTGTTCGCTGCCAGCATTGCTGACTTCATCATCGCCGGAGTCCATCTCTGATTCAGCATTTTCAGATGCGCCTTCTTCACCTGCAGCATCTGCAGTTTCCGTTCTTGTGCCGCCCTTCGCATCTTCGCGCTCTGCGGGCAGGCACTCTTCAGATGTAATCTCATCGTCATCATCATCCACACGCTTCCTCTTGCTGGCTGATCTGGTTGGGATTTGAGTTCGAGTTGTCTTACTTCCAGCTTCGGGTTGTTTGTCCTCATTCTCGTCTGCCACGTTCTGACGGTGACCACCAAAAAAGTGCGCTCGCCGCGCCTTCTTTTCCTTGCGCTGCTGCTGGCGCTGCACCCGCCTGGACGCACGCGGGCCCTGCACCCTGTCCTCACCTGCATTGCCTGGCTCATCAGCTCTGGACTTCGCCTTGCCCTTGCCTTTGCCCTTGCCTTTGCTCTTCCCTTTGCCCTTGCCTTTGCTCTTGCCTTTGCCCCTTCCTTTGCCCTTCCCACCCTTTCCTTTGCCACTTCGCGGAAGAAGGTGATCCTCGCCGCCTTCCCGCAGGACTTGCCCGACGAAGCTTCGCAGCTCCTTTTGGACACTCAGCTTGGGCATTTATCCGAGATGTTCAGCAAGATGGCATCCATGGCCAAATGATGCACGATCACTGGTGCATGTGCTCACGTTTCAGTGTGTACATCTTCATGATCCAATTTTTCCAACACAACTAACCTTGTGTGGTCTGCATCTGTGATGTTTGCAAACTAAAAATCATGGGTGCAGGAAACCACGCCGACATGCCTGAAATCCACCCCACTCAAAAGTTCTAGCTTCTGAGGGTGTGTAGACTTTGCTTTGTTAAACTGCTAGAAGGCAAGCACGAGAACTCATCCAACACATACACACCGGTAGACACATCCCACGTGGTTAGACACTTCGTCTGCTGATGCGTCTGAACGACTGTCCGTCTTCGTATGACTCAAACCTCCTGGGCCAAATGAAGCAGCGTAACTGTGTCGCTTTTGTGGCCTCGCCCAAACCCTAGCACAAGACATGCGGCATTATCTGCTTGTAGGGCGGCCGCCCAGGATGCTGTCCATGACAAGGACGGCTCAATGCGTGATCGACGGAGGATGTCTACCTGGCCATGGTGTCTGCGCAGACGTACTGCAATGTCTGCTTCCCCCTTTACCCTGCACCTTCCCTTGCTCAGATGCTGATGGCCTTGAGCAGCTTCTCCCCTCGTCGAGGCATGAGCAGTCTCCGGCCGTCCTCGGTTCTCAAAACACTGCGCCGATGCCTGAAAGGCCTTCTAAATCAATCCACATCGGTCCAAATACAAGACCCAGGCAAGCTCGAGGGTCACGGCAACTAATGACACCTGAGGCGAAGGCTGGTGCCACTCTGCAAACCGGCCCCAAGTTTTCCACTGGGCTCTGCACTGCAGCAGAAGCATCTCCGGATTGAAATGCGCGAAACAGGCACTCGGCACCAGTGATGCCAACCTCCGGGCGCAGTTTAAAATCCGGGGGGGAGCCCCCTCGAGTCCTCGACACAAGTGGCCCTGCCCGGCTAAGACCAGAAGCCTGCACCACAGGAGGGCTGCGGCTCCCGGGGAAAGCCTCAAAAGATCTTCAAGGCTCGCTGCAGGTGAAACTCAGCAGGAAATCGTTTCAGGCCGCGGCGATGTCCAAACCTTCGTAGAAAAGACTCGCCTGTCCAATAGGTTTCACGACTTGTAACTGCATGGTTTTGTTTGCCTACTTAAGAAACTCCCTGTCCCTCCGTCACGTTGCGGCGGCTTCCCGGAAGCAAGGCACCGATAACCACTCGCTCAACTTCCACGCCACCACGCACTTACTTTGAAAGCATTCCATACATCCGACCCTATCCCCGCAAAAAGCCACCGAAAAGACATATGGAATTTCTTGGCCCCAGAATGTCTTCTCATAACCCGCCCTGCCTTTCAGCTCTGAAAGTCGTTTTCTGGCTACGAACTGTTTCGAAAGGTGAGAGGCAACAATGTGTTTTCCCTGCCTCCTGTCCACAGCTTTCGAACCTTCTATTCGACCCCGGAATTTCTTCTTGATCTTTTTCCGGACCCCGAAATGTATTTTTCTGGACCTCTGCAAAAGAAGATACAGTAACTTTAAAACCGATGAGAATAAGGAATCAGGGGGAAGATGTCAAAAGGATGTTAACGTGTGAAACTGCCAAAATGTCGCTGAACATTATGTCCTTTTCGCGGCCCCACGCTGTGGTCCAAGACGCTTTGTCAGTCAGCGGCCTTCATCTCTCTTTGTCTCGCTCTCTCGCTCTCTCGCTGCTCTTGGTTGCTTGCTTGCAGTGCGTGTGGCCTCCCAAAAGAGGCTTGCGTGCCAGGTCAAAAACATGCATCCCCGAGGGCCTCTATTGGGGTTTCCCTCCCAGGTCTAACGATGTTGTGTGTGTGAAACTGCCCTGAATTGTAACCGTGGCACACTAAGGCTCTTTCTTAAACACAGATGACCATCGGAGCCCTGATAACGGTATGCCTTCCCCCCACTACAGGTTCGGTAGTGGGTGGCTCTCGCTCTCTCTCTATCTCCTTCTTCTTCTTCTTCTTCTTCTTCTTCTTCTTCTTCTTCTTCTTCTTCTTCTTCTTCTTCTTCTTCTTCGGGGCTCTCTCTTTCTTTCTTTCTTTCTTTCTTTCTTTCTTTCTTTCTTTCTTTCTTTCTTTTTTTCTTTCTTTCTTTCTGGGGGCGTGGGGGCGAACTTCGGGCGTCATCGCCCGCCCCTGTCTTTGGGGGGCGTGGTCGGTTACGGGAGGTGCCCAGGTGCTTTCTTTCTTTCTTTGGGGCATGGGGGAGACCCCCGCGCGGCTGCGCGCCCCGATCCCGCAGGTGCTCTCTCTCTTTCTTTCTTGTGCTGTCCCTCTCTCTCTCTGTCTCTCTCTCTCTCTCTCTCTCTCTCTCTCTCTCTCTCTCTCTCTCTCGCTCTTCTTCGACGAATGCTTGTTATTATTATTTCCTCTTTACGTCCTCGTCAATACCATCAAGCATTCTGCTTCAGCAGGGCTTGCCATGGCTTACCCAAGTTTATGCCGGCTCCCCTGATGCATCACGTGCAAGGCGGCCAGAACCACCTCTCTGCTACATTTCAAGCAAAGCGAAACGAGCAGAAGCAACTAGTTGCTTCCATGAGAGTCTTGTACCTTGAACAGGGGCCGAGGGCCTCCACAGAGCACGACCCGCGAGGTTGGAGGCTTTCCAACTCCTGTTGTGCAAACGTCAGGGCACAACACTCAGGAGTAAATACATACGACCTAGTGTCAGCCTCGTGGCTCTGTGGATTTGCGTGCTCGCCCTCCTCTAGGCAGTATGCCAACAAAAACCGTCCGCAAGTTTCAGAAGCAGCGAACTTTGTGTCTGCCTGCTTGTTGGCCTCACCTTATGATCTTCTCATCAGCGTCAAGTCATGGGGAGCTCTGAGCTACGAAGTACGCATGAGGGTGCCACTGGCGAGGGGCACTTGGCCTGCAGGCGGCTCATGAGAAGAAGAAACGTCAGCCAGGAGCCTGAGCCTGACTGCTGGCAGCTTGACAGCTGGCCTGGGACCAATTCTGCAAGCCGTTTGGCCGCCTTCTGCTTCACTCGAGCCTTTCAGCACCAGTCGCAATTTCGCAATTTCCAGTCCTGGCCCTCCAGTGGCTCTGCAAAACACACGGCCTGTATCGGATGGACAACATAGCGGCCCCAAAGCCTCACACCGACGCAGAAAAAAAGCAGTCAAAATGCCTCCACTGCAACAATAGCATGGAACAGAGCAGCGTGAAGGAACGTCTCAAGGCAAGGGCTTGGCAAACATCCCAGCACTGTCACCAACAGGCAACAGTCCCTGCCACTGAACTTTCCTCTATTCTGACAGCACCGAGCACCACTGCCCAACCCAGCTCCTGCACGTGCTCATGCCCGGCTGCCAAAGCCTCCCATGCCTGCACCGGTGTTCATGATTGCTTTAGACTGCATAAAGTGTACATGCCAGGGTGCTTCTGGGCCTCGTAAAAAGCAGCCAGCACCTCCGAAGACGACAACGATCTCACCATTCTTTGCAAATTACGCAGACTGGAACTGCCTCATGGATCGGCTGCTCATGCCACCTCAGCTTCACGCGGCAACATCAAGCAATGATCCCTAATGATAATGTCATGAGTCTCATGATGCAAGTCAATGTAAGTCCTTGGCCGAACGCTGATTAGCTTAATGCCTCCACGAAGATTGACATGGTGATCCGCACTTTTTACCTCTCCAGGAGTTGCGCGCATAACCTCACAGTCCACAAAGATGAACGTTTCCAACCTGCAGGGAAGCACCGCGGGTGAACGAAACCAAGGCCGTACTGTCGCAAGACAGGTGGCAGAGCGCGACCTGCAGATTCCCAACACTACGAAGAGCACCTAGGGACTTGCAGATCCTTTGGAGCCATTATTGAATCTTGGTGATATTCATGGACCTCATTACCATGTACAGTCACAGGCCGATCCGGCACCATGAGGAGATCCACAGAGAACGCCATTACCGTTTTGCAGAAGCCGTTTTGGCACATTCACCTGCCGAGCCCCAGTTTAAGCTTATCTGCCTCATCATTGCCTCCTCCACCGAACCACCCTCCAGCATGAATTTGCCCACCAGTCGCAGACATTAATGCAGATAGACGTTTAGCGATCGCCAACGATAAACGAGACGAAGTGTTTAAGGGTCGTCTCAAGGATATCAACGAGCTCTCGTAGTCCGTCAAGACTCGCAAAGATGCACATTGATGTCCAAAGAATTCCAAAGATGCGTATCGATCGTATCCTTGCCGCAACGACCAAGAAGTGCCGCGCTTGACAAACTGCACGCTGCTCCGCACGGAGCATGCACCGCAAGCACAATGTCCATGGCGACAATCTACACATTAACTCTCGATACGCCCAGCGACCACACACCATCAGACATAACGATTCATGAAATTGCAGAATGCTTGCCACATGACCTCGCCCAAGATGTCGCTGCGCGACTCGAAGCCCGCATACTGGGCGAGAATGCCATCCAGCTCCAGACAGACCTGAGTTCACACAGCACCCAACTTCATTATTCTTGGGAACACTCGGCCAAGAGCCTTGTGGCCGGATGCAGGATGCAGTACCTCGACACTCCCAGTCCAGTAGGGCTTCTCGGGGTCACTCACAGAGACTGAGGCACGCACAAGCTGTGTGTTGGCGATGGTCAACTTGACATGAACCTCATCCCAGATACGGGTGCCCTGCAGCTGAGGCCGCATGTTTTAGCTGAGACGGTTTCCCGCGGGTGTGTTTCGCCTCCGGTCTCCTTCAACGAGATCACTGCTGACGCTAGGCGCTTGTGTCTTGATCCTGGCCTGGGGAATCTTTGCTTCCGACTTCACGAGGCCAGCTGCTTCCACGTTTGCGGAGCTCGCGCCCGGATCCACCAAAGCCTGCAATTGACGCACTGCACCATGTTCCCTCATGTATTTGAACTTTCCCGACAATCACAAGACTTCATGTGCCATGCACCATGGGCCTGGGACATGACATCACGCAGCGGACTGATGGCGTGGTCCAAGCCTGGCACACAATGCCTATGCAGAGCCCTTGGGCTCGCAGAGTTTGTACTAAGAGCTGCACTGATTGGCAGCTGTCCAGCCACCTTAGCTGCAGGACCAGAGTCCCCAATGTTCGGTCGGAAAGTCGCTAGCCAGCACGCCTTCAAGAAGAGAGGGTCGACGATCCAGCGGACAGACTCGCTCTCCAAGCTGAAGTGCCTTCAGCAACAAGTGGGCTGGGCCTTCAGTTCGGAGAATGTGCTGCCAAACAGGGAGGGACGACCAGCCATTGGTTTCCGAATCCCTCCAGGCCTTGCATCTTGCAAGCACACGTGCAAGCATCATGACCAAAACGCGAGGAGAAGCGTGCTCAGCGTGCACTTAAGGTTTGAGGTGTCGACCTCACCCTGCCCCCCACATTGCAACACTGGGCAGCTTGGGAGCTAGCTTGGAGGTTCATGGTCGCTGGCTCGTAAACCTTCTTGTGCGCATGGCCAGGAGAGCAGATGACGTGTAGAGACTCATGTCAAGGCACTCGAAACTCCTCAGCTTCCTCGGACTGCGCCGTTACCTTGCCAATTGGGATAGTGATGCATGCACACGCATTCAAAGACACAGAAACGCCCTACCACCCAGTCATACACACGCAAGCTGATTGCTTGAGCTCACAGCACTTGTCTCGGTGAGCTGGCAGAAGCATGAGAACTTCTGCCACTCGCACCTGCATTGGACAAGTTATGCACAACCTTGCTGAGAAAGCAAAAAAGATGACGGAGCCTCTCCGGTTCTGAAGCTTGCTCTGGCGGCTGCTGGTTGCTCGTGCGGAAGATCAACCGACCCAGGGCGATAGTAACCTTTCCGGCAGTAACTCTCCCATGCTTTAATATGTGCTATCTTCCAGCCTCTCTCTGTGCATTCTTAAGGAGCAAGTTGACTCAAAAAGGGGGCAGTTCGCAGAGCAACAACAGAAGGAACACGCTTGAGGCCCAGGCTTGGCCCGAAGGCAGGAGGCCCCATCCTCAGAGGGAAAAACAATCAACTCCCGTCTCTTGAGACTCACACAAAAACCGACAAAAACCTCACAAAGTAAGTCTCCAAGGCATAAAAACGCGCAAAAAAACTACTTAGAACCATCCAAAGCTTGCACGTGGCATCTGCTTGGAAGATGAATCAGGGAAGGTAAGTCCCGCGCGAAAGACTGGAGCAGCAACCTTGGTCGGCGAGGGACGGAGCCACAGGCCGCAGCGGCCGAAACGTAAACCGGACATAACCTGAACTCTGACCGTTCTAGCCTGAACCAACCAGAACATCTCAAGAATCTCAAGCAACATCTCCTCTTTGTCATGACATACCACGACTGCACGCGACCAAGCTCAAGGCATCCAGATCCAAGTCCAAAGCAAGGGCCTCACGATGCAAGAACGGAGGCACGGAACCTCTGTTGTGGCAATGCGCGCCTCGGAAGCGTCTGGCGCTGCCTTATTGCAATCAGTATGGGCGCTGCACTTGTTGCAGCAACAGATCACGGACGCACCTCTGCGTGTTCAGCTGCTGCCGGCTTTGCTTCTGCGGACAGGCAGGGGAAGTTGAACACATGGCTTGAATTCCCTCAGCTGATCGAAGCTTTGCACCTGTCTCGAGGCTGGTGGGCAGACAAGGACTCGATGTGGTCGAAACACCTTGCACGGCACACGTGGTATCTTCTCTTGCCGCAGCTTGCCGCAGCCGCAGCTTGCCCCCACTAGTCCAGTTGGGCCAGCTGCGAGGGCTGGAAAACGTGGCGGCTCTGACCTCATCAAGCATCCGACAAAAATCACAAGCACCACGACTGGACGCTCATCGAAGCTACAGTCGCATGTCTGCATACTTCCTGTTGTTTCGAGGGCCCCACAATGGCAACCACAATGCTCAGCGCATCGTGCGTACCTGTCGGATTTGCAGTATGGCCAGCCGAACGCACCAAACCGCTCATGCGCACTGTGAGGTGCCAGCGTGAACCTGAAAGGCTCCTGCCGTTGAGGCTTGTCAATGCATCACAATACATGAACACCACGCAGACACGGCACTCACACAACCACTCACGGAACCTTTCTGCTTGCATATCGTTGTAAAACGTCCATCATGATCAGTTGGGGGCATCCTGCTTGAGGCGGACCCGCAGCGCCCAGGGCAAGGAACCAGATCCGGCCTGTGCCCCATTTCAAAGAGCACAGGAGAGCGATTACTGAGCGAATCCTCTTGTCGACACTGGCGCTTGATTCTTGAGCACTGGTTCTTGAACGGGCTCAGAGGCTCGGACGCTTCCACCGAAGCGCGCGCAGTGCACTCTCAAGCTCACGGCGGCCTTGGCAACCATTGACCATTCTGACGACCAGATGACAACCACAAAAACAATCTGAAACAATGTCAGAGCACACTCGTGAGAGCCCACTTTTGGCCACTGAAACTGCCCTCGTGCCTCCTGCGAGACTTTTTCCGGAGACTCCTGCGAGGGCCAAAATGGCGTGTGGAAAGTCGACGGGGCCACTTCCAGTAGCAGCTGTTTTCCTCGATGTCGCTTTGTACATCGAAGAACCTGAAAAAGGCACAACGAGCGTAGCGCCAAAGCTCTCTACTCTATCACGTTACGTTGTAGTTTTGACAGGAGGGAGGGAGAGAGAGAGAGAGAGAGAGAAAAGAGAGAGAGAGAGACGTCTCCAAACAATCCAAACAAACGTGACGTTGGGGTCCAGGCTCGTCGTCATCATCTGGTGCCATCTCTCTGGGCCTGATTGAAAAAAACTGGAGGAAGCACTGGAGGAACCAACTGCCCTTGCCCTAGGCGACAGACAGCGAAGGCAGCGAAGGCAGCGAGACCTCGACCTCACAACATGCAGATCTGTAACAGGAACAAGAGTCCATGGTCCAGGCCCTGGCTGCGTCAGTGCCGCGGCGAAGGAGCATGAGAGGCTCCTGCTTGAAAGGAGCCCACACCCACTGGGATCCTGCTTCTGTCGAGTCTGCCTTTCCAAGAAGCACTGCCAAGGAGGAGAGGTTCGCACTGACCTTTCGCAAGTGTTCACACGGTCCTAGAGAACAGACGTGCGTTCTCAAGGCGTGCATCTTCCGCATGAAGCGTTGCCGTAAAGACCAACGAATGTTGTTCCAACGGCTGCTTGAAAGATCTTGGAAGTGAATGAAGCAGGTAGCTGTGCCAATTATGCTAATTGCGCTATACACAGCACTTTGCCGTGGCGGCCGAGCTGCGTCGGCATCCCAAGCCTTGGACAGCACTTCTGTCGGGTTTCCATCAGAGAAGGAGCCTGAGAATTGAAGCTGTGCAGAGCCGAGGTCGGCACGGCTTTCATGAAATTCGCCATAGCTCCTGACAAGCGGCTTTCTTGCTGTCTTGCTGCGAAACCAGAAGCAGGACCAACCCCGCTCTGCTGGATGAGACACCCCATAACACTCCGAAAAAGTTAACCCCACCCCCAGTCCCGCGAAACGTACTGACCCCGGACCCTTTCTACACCAGTTCTTGACTCGAAGAGTTTGTTCTATCGAGGACACGATATGAGACGACAAAGTGGACTTCCCACGGGCCACCAGTCAGCGACTGCTACCGCACCGCCGACAGAAAATCAGTCACCCCCCCCACAACACGGTTTCGAACGAGCCAACTTCTCCCCCCCCCCCCCCCCCCCCCCCCCCAATGGTCCGGGACGAGTCCCCCGTCCGCCCGGTATCTGCTGGAAACAGCAACCACGCCTTCTCGAGCTGTGGCCAGAGAAAGCTGACATTGAACACCTCGTCAGCCCAACATGTGGGGTTTACAGAATGCGCAGACCAAGCTACCGTGATTCTGAGGACCTGACCTCCTTCAATATGCAAATCTGGGACTGGACCTTGTCTCGTGTGCAGCTGGCTTCGTGTGGATGTTGGACGGAAAGCCAAGCATCTCACTCGACGAAGCAGCCGGAGAGCATGACATGATTGTACAGTGAGGAATAACAAGACGAACCTGCCGTCAATTTGGGCCAGAAATCTTCACTCAGGACTCTCTTTTTTGCGCCTCGAGTTTTCGAGGCTCCTCTACCTGGTATCTGGTGAAGAAAGTGCCAGCATCATGCGGCAATGCAAATCCACCTCCTGTCCTGTCCGGCCCTGGCCTCCTCAAAAAAGCTTTGCTTTCCGGCTTCCTCAACCTTGGCGTCGCAAAGCCACAAGCAGCTCTCATGCATTATGCCGGTTACTGTAAGAGGCCCGCTATGTCTTCGAGTGCCTCGTCCTCTTCACCTTATTGGCCCACAGATTCCACGTTCCTTCGGCAATAAGGAGTCGCAACCTGGCCTTGTGATGCCGCCGCTGACGCCTGCTGAGGGCCAGCTGCGCTCGCACAGCATGTGGAGTGTGTGGAGCACGCGTGGCTGCATGGCTGCATGGCTAAGGCCAGCACCCTGTCCGAAGCACCTCGCAGCCACCCCACCTTGAGCACGGCGTTGGTTTTGTCACGACTCGTGGCCCTGAGATCAAAGCAGGCTGGGACTTCTGCAAAGCCACGGCGGGCTGAAGGCTGAGACCTGGCTCTGCACCGTCGACATGTCTGACAGAAATGAAGCAGGACACTTGCTTCTTCCGTCGAGTGCAAGTGCCAAACTGAATGCAGCGGATGCAAAGGCAGCCACGAAACAGTTTCGTGCCCCAGGAGCTCCAAGCTCCTAAGTTGCCACCTGAACACTCAGCCCCATGTCTCGTTGCCAAGACTAAACAAACGTCAAACAAACACGGAGAGAGAGAGAGAGAGAAAGAATAAAAAAAGAGGCCTCGCCAACCATTCCACGGGCGCCAAGTCTTCTATCTCGGTCAGCCTGTGCCTGTCTTTTGAGCAGCCCACCCCTACCCAACCTACAGACCACCACGGTAAAGCACGAAGAGCAGTCATGATCCGACGAAGCCACTCGTCTCCGTGCAGCTGCTCACCCTTGGCTCGGCGGACACACCTTCGCAAGTTCTGTGTGAGTTCCTCATTTATGCAGCAGCGGGCCCCAAAGCAAGGAAGTGTCGATGCGCTGCCACCAAGGCGCATCTCTGCATACTCGGCACCGGATGGAAGAGGCGCCTACGACAAAAAAACTAAGTTGGGCTGCACAAAGGCATACAAGCATTGCAACATAATTGCAACCCAGAGCACTGCATCAGCCACTTCTCCACCTGGAAAGCGAGCCATAATCTGCATGGACCACATACCCTTGACCATACTTTGACATACTGTTTGGCCCATCTAGGTGCCGTCGCCATCTCGAATCTTCGAGAGCCTTGCTCCCGTGGGTGCCAAGTTGGCCTCGGTGTACCTGTGAGGCACAGCACTCGAGCACTTTATCCAACCACGACTTCCTTTCCAATCTTTACACACACGCGTTGGGCCCTCGCCAATTCAGGAGGTTGCTGGCGTATGTCCTTGGCAAGGCACTTCAGGTAACCTGCCTCCACTGACGGCAAGGCTTGCTTGTAAGGGTGCTGCGCATTGGCCGGAGAAAGCATCACAGCCGCGCTCGCTTCTGAGACCTCCATGCAACGAGGGCTGGTCCACTCCGTGCACTCTTTTCTGCAGAACTGAAAGCGCTCTCTTCTCGACTCTCAATTACTCTCCATCGTCTTCCCTGCGGGTTGTCTCTGCTGAAAGGGTTTCTGTTTCTTCGCCGACTTCTGGAGAACCTTTTGGTGTGCCCTGACCCGACGCTTGTCAGTAGCCTGCCACATTCTCGCCCATGGTGGCTGCGGGCCTGTTCGTTTGTTTTGCCTTGTATCGGCTTGCCCTGAAGGCCCAAGCAGGACCAGACGATCGGAGATCTGCGGGTGTAGGCCAAGTGACAAGCCAAATCCACAGCGGATGAAATTGAGAACATCGAATAACCTGCGAGCCTACCATATGGACAAAACACAACAACTAAGGCCAAAGAGAACGAAGATTCGACATCTGCTCGGGCCGCTGGAATATGCAAGGCTGCGGGGGGCAGGGTCGCACATATGCGCCGATGCCAGTGCCAAAGGCTGCTAAACACCAGTTCTACACCCATCTACACCCTTGATACATCCAAACTGCAGGACAGCAGCAGCGGCATGAGCCCGAGCTCTCTCAGCGCGAGTCACGAGACCACAAGGACTGAGATGGCTGGCCTGTAGCTCTGTCTGCAGCCTGTCGCGAAGCTGTATATGTTTTGCAACATGCACATCTAGACAAATTCGCATTTGCATCTCAAGATCTGCCAGCGTGTCCATAAAATACCGCCAGCTTGGGAATGCCAAAGGCGGGCATCCAAAGACAACGGCCCAATCCTCAGCTCTGCTGCTGCACATGCCAGTGACTATAAGATCCACAAGCAAACGCCACAAAAATGGCTGTCAATATGACGCGCGCCGGCACTGCATTCTTCCGATGGAAGCAGTTGTGCCTTCTCTCAACTGTACAAGAGCGGGCCACCGCTTTTGCAAGCGAATTTGTGACCGGCACATGGGTGTCGATCATGGCCAATGATGGCCAATGAATTCCCACAGCGTCCAGCTTCTTCGAAGCTGGAAAAACATAGTGAGAGCATGCTGAGCTCACGAAGACTTGCTGCGCGATGGTTCATCGGCGCACGGCGGGCGGATCAGAATTCAGCACCTCTGCGATCATGGAAGCCACAAATTGACAGATTACGAGGACTCATCAAGCAAACGCCTTGTCTCGACTCTCAACTGAGCATCGAACACGGCAGCAGGATGCCAGCGGGCCACCACAAAACATTTGTGAAAGCGCCTCCAGGTTGAACGGGTTCTCCGGCCGCTGCACTGCCCTAAGTGCATCAAACGTCTAAGAGACAGCAAAGGATAGTAAAAGCGACCCCGACCCAAAAAAAAACAGGCCCAACATCTGACGAGCAGCTCTGTCCTTTCAGTGACGAGAGCTCCGTCGCTTTGCTCCAAGAACTCTCTCAAGTGCTTCACTTCTAGGCCAAGTGCTCGTTGGTTGATCTCTGCTCTCCTTGCTGCATGCGCCTGGGGAGGCCGCAGACAAGGCACTCCAGTTGCCTGGCAAACGGGGCAATTCTTCTCCAGCTTCGGTGGTTCATTGCAAGGCTCGTAGAACTGACAGCGCTTGTGGTGGTAGCTGTTGTCGTGAGCCTGCAGGGCAGAGTGCTCGAACCCGCCAACCATGCAAGTACTGATGCCGGCTTACCAAAACTTTGCTAAGGACGTCATGACATGCCTTGACGTATGACGAAACAACCTATCAGGCAGCCTTGACTACACGACGATCTTCACCACACATCCAGCAAAATTCATGCCCGCAGACACAGGTGATGTGGTCACAAGACAGAGGATCCTGCTTCTCGCAGGCAAGTTGGCAGGATGGGCAGCGCTTGAAGCCCATAGGCTTCAGCTGCATCTCGTATACTGCCAAGTCTTTGAAGTTGTCCCAAGAGCTCGACAACGCCACAGAAGTAGCGCATCGGTGGTCCACATTCCACATATTCTTGCAGTGCTTGCATCTCGAAATGCCACATGACCGGCACTGGAGAGCGGACTTCGAAGCCACGACATGCTCCGCGCTGCCACATTCAGGGCACGAGTGGGACTCCATCAGAACCTATATGCTCCAGCACAGCCCCTGAGCTGAATAGCTGCCGATCGCTGGAGACATGTCGCCATCCTTTTTGCAAGTCCAGTCCTTTATGCTGAGTTGGTTGAAACTGTTGAACATGTTGAAACTTGCAACATAGGAATCCGGCAGCGGCGAAGTTTCTCCTTGCACTGAAAGCAGGGCTGCCTGCCACTCGTTTGAAGGGAGGTATGTGTAACAGTTGTGTACCACTGCACCATGCAAAGGCGCCCAACAAGGCCTTGATGCGGCGGAGTTGTTCTGTCAGCTCACTCAAGATACCAGCATCAGCGGTTTCCAAGCCTGAAAAAAACAAGACCTGCAGCTCTACACCGTCAGGCCAACATGCACTGGGTCGAGCACGCCGCTGCAAGTCTTCGAGGTCACGCCTGCAGGCGTGAAGACGTCAACTAATGTACGGTGCGCATGTACCGATATGCCTGGAAGCTTCTTTTCGGGGCGGTTCAGGAATCATTTTCCATGAACGAGTACAAGTCGAAATCAATGAAGTCTCTATCTCAACACCGGCAAGTAGACGCACGCGGAGTCCTGCCACCGGAGTTTGTGGCAACCGGTTAAAAATTTTTATCTGCTGCAACTAGGGAGCCCACGAAGGGTGCCTAGTCATGGACACAATTATCAAAAGCATAACTGCACAGCGTGGAGAGCCTGTGAAGTGAATGTCTCCATCAAGCAACTCCACGCATTCGTGCTGGCTGGAAAACCTATGTAAAAGTGTAGAGGTCCTCATTGAAACAAGGGCTTAAGGGACACCATGCGCACTATCTGTGCGACAGCCATTCTAAAATCAGATGCTTTGCCAGATGGACCTCTCAATGACGGAACTGTTGCCGAGCTTGCCAGGTTCACGCAGTCCAGCTCCCTCGCCCTTTGGCAGGTTTGTATATCAAATCCTTGGAAGAAACCCTCGCCTGCCATTATTGCAGATGCCGCTTGCTCTGCTTCATCTAACGCCTAACGTTCATGACTATCCGAATCCGTGCAGTGTACATGCCCATAAGCCATGGAGCCCCAAAGAAGCGCCAAAGAAGCGAAACAAAGTGCACGTGTCACATTGGATATGCAGTCACGGCACATTCTCCTCTAAGTAATCTCGGAAGTTCAGAATGGCGCTGAGGTCCGCCGTGCGTGCTGCTGGGCCAGGGGGCCCACGGCAGACTGCGGAGATGGCCATCGCCACCTTCTCACTCGAAGCCTGAGCGACCAACCGGGAACCACAGATCACCACAGCACCGCATTAAGCTTCAGGTAGTGTCGGTAGTGTTTGCCATGACACCGGCAAGGGAGAGGTGAAGTGCGAGGAGATGACGCTCTTTATTCCCGGCCACCTTCGAGGTATCTCCTTTGCGAAGCTTTCAAGCCTCAGTGCTGCAGACACGTTACCAACTAGAAACAGCAAGGAGGCTAACTACGCGCCGAGCACTGCGTCATGCTTTCCAAGCTCCGCACGTCTCTGGATCTCGACTGACTTGAAGTTCCGCGACGAAGCTTGGAACTTGGAATCCTGTGCCTTCAACCCCCGCTGCCAGCCTGGCCCACTCTCCGCGCCAGCCTGATCCACCCACACGTGTTATAGTTACAAAGGTCCTGTTGCTTCGCTCAGGTGACCCTCTGAGCCTGGTCGACAATCAAATGTCTTGCTGCCTTTGGCTGGAAGCAGGCGCTCATCTATTTTTGCACACGGTGAGTCTGAGTCTTGCCAGTTGCACCTCGGCACCACAGAAGCCATTCACAAAATGAACTCTGAAAACAGCATCACTCCCTCCACGGAATTCAGACTGGCCAGGATGAAAGGAAACAAGCGCACTAGCCCCGATCCACTCAGCACATTGACAATCAGGTGCATCGTCGTCCGAGTAGAGGCAACAGTCGCGACGTGCAACATCAGGCGTGCGCAATCCGCCGCCCCCCCCCCTCCCCCCGCCCGCAAGACGTGCGAGAACATGGCAGGGCAGGCTGGGCAAAAGAACAGGGCAAAGCAGCCCTAAAGGGACCCAAAAGAGGACCCCGAACCAGCAATCAGCAGTAGCAGAAGAGGCGAAGCGCAAGTCGAATAGGCCCAAAGCCCCACATACTAACACTCACACACGGCCAACTCGTGACATGTCCCTGCCACAGCGCCGCCCCCCGCCCCCCCACACACATCTCGAGGAGCACTTGAGGAAGAGAATTCATTCGCCCAGGCTCGGGTACCATCCGAAGTACCCCAGCTCCTTCTGCGGCGCTTTGGACGCCAAGCCGAGCTGTTCGGGTACCGCCAAGTCACCTTTACACTGTGCTGGACACCCGGGATGCAAAAGCTTTTGTCCAACCAACTTGATGAACCTGCTGCCACGGACAGCAGCGACCGCGGATTGATGTTGTTGAGGAGGAGTACAGACCTTTGTACAGCCACAAGTCAATACTTACGGTTGTGTCCTTTAGCTAGCAGCTATCTTAGCTCTGCAAACACACAAGTCGTGCTCGCCAGGCAACTTCTGGTAGCCATCCTTCAGGGTCTTCGGGCTGCTGACATCAACCTGCACATCACACGTGTTGATGTCCCGCATTGCAACCAGGAGTCCCCGTTAACGGCATGCTGATGAGAACAAGGGTGGTCAGCTTCTGAGTCGTGTTAATGAATAAAGTTGGAAACAGCTGAGATTGGTAATCTGGGCAAACGACTATACGTTCTGGTTGCTTCATGTCACCCATACACCTCTTCAGAAATAGTCAAGTGCCCATCGCCTCCTGCAAAGGTTCGTCACGTGAGAACCAAAGAAGTCCTTCCCTGTACGGCGACAACGTCAAAATCTCGGGCGGCTCATCCGACAGGCCAATCAGCATGTCCTGTGTCAGGCGCCCTCCGGCCAACAAGTCACTACGGGTAACTCCTTGCAAAAAAAAACACATGCCAACTGTGTTGCCGCGCGGCGGTGCAAACAAAGCTGCCAGAGGATTTGTGGAACAACACCGTCTCTTCAAAGACAGTTCGTGGTGCATAATCAACCGTCAACTGAAGATGATCGATGCCCTGGCAACTTTACAGATGCGCGAGGATGCACCCAAACTAGAGTCGCAAGCATCTTTGCTGACATCTTGCTGAAAGTAGTGTACAGCCTTCGAAGACCACGGCGCCAAGGACGAATCTTTCGGAATCTTCTGCAATGGTGTGCCTGGTCGAAAGCCTCCCACCGGAACCTGGAACTCCAAGCTCCATGCTTGAACAATCTTGGATATGCAGTTGGCTGTCTCTGCAGCTTCGTTGCATAAGGTCCAAAATCAATCGGCCAGCTGAAAGTTCGTGGACTTATCCACACCTGCACACATGAAACATCAATGAACAAAGAACTTTTCACTGCCCGTGCCCTTGCACCTTTTGGTTGGCACAATACCTCGAACTCAACTTTTTAGTGCCTCCGCACTTGGAAAGAGCTGCGCCCACTGAGGAGCATAGTATTTGTGCTCGATGGCGACCGTGCCGCACACCTAGTAGCATGGAACCCGATATCAAGGAGAAATGGGCGCTGTACCTTCCGCTCATGGTGGAGCATGCAGCCGAACAGCAATATATCGCACGTCTGTCAGACCGGCACTCTTGAGCATCTCCATGCACTCCTTTCCATCGCCCATGTTTTATGGCATGTACCTAGTGGTTGTAAGCTTCACATTCCAGACATAGCCGAGTCACGGAAGTTGGGTGACATGGATTGTAGACCAAGTAACCCCCACCTTCGAGACTGAGCACGGTCATGCGGATAGGAATGTTGGCACCTCAGTTGCAGCGATGGTGTAGCAAACCCGTGCTCTGCACAATGCTTTGCAATCCATCACATAGCTGAGACAACGACCAACCCCGAGCCCAGGAATACCATACGCTTGATCGAAGATGTGGACACCTTCGGCAACCTTCTTCGACACTGTGGGGGGTTCTGCTGCCGCTTTCGCTGCCGATGGCAAAGCCAAGGGAGCTGCCCCCAGGCCCAATGGTCCCAGTGACAGGACCTCTCGGCGGTTTGGGCCATGGGCCTTCCTTAAGCTTCGCGACCTCTGCGCATGGCTGGCCCATGCCGCACTCAGCGAGATGCCCAACCCCACCGCTGTGACATGTCTCTTCCGTTGCGTTGCGGCTTGTAGGCCTGGAAGAATCCAGTCTTGTGCAAACCAAACAAAAGTTCAAAAACCATACTGCAGTACCATGAGTACAAGCCACAGAACAAACCTTCGGAACCTCCTGCAAGCACCTAACTGATGCATTAAGCGAAGATTGGATGCCTTTGGTATGGACCACCTGTGGCTCACCAAGGCGACGTGCGGGTGCCCGTGCGGGTGCCCGAACTGCCAAGTCACCCTGATCGATTTGAACAAAGCGCCAGCCACACTGGTTTGAACATGTCTGAACACTGTTTTGAACGTGTCTGAACGTGTCTGAACGTGTCTGAAGCACATTTCAAAGCGTACCCTCCAAAGCCAACCTGGACAGAGCCGGCTAGCATGATGAGCCGACACTGCCACTGGCAATGGCTTTTCTGCACAACGCTGCAGCTACGTAATGTTTTTTGTGTTGTGGTTAGACTATTATCCGTGACATCAGCATGAATGTGCGCATTTCTCGCACAAGGCAAATTATGTTGCCGGATCACACAGCTTGAGCCACCACCAGCAGAACGAGAAGACGCCGACTGCCCACACACATGCAAGCACGCCACAGACAGATACGCTGTGTATCATACACACACTACAGTACACAGAATCGGCACTTTCAAGCAACACTGAGGGTCGCGACCGCAAGGATGGCCACAGATTGGAGCCTCAGCAGGAAACATAGGGGAACAAATGCTTCACATGTGTCCATGGCTCACACGGCAAATTGATGCAAATTGGCATTGGTTACGTTGGTTCGCGGCTGCTTTCATTCGACATTGCACGTTGACCGCATAGCCCAACCTTCCGTACATGCACCCGGCTGCTGCTACTAACATCAGCAAGATCCAATAACATCCGATAAAGCCAATATCAAAAACTAACAACATCCCATCACAGCGTTCCAAGCATGCGGGATGTGCCAGTTCCAGAATCTTGTCCAGTGACGCAGGGTGACGTCGCACCTCCACATTTTCTGGGCGCAATGACACCCACCATCTTCGCTTAGGTTTGCGGCACAAACCTTCAAACTGCCAAAGCTTTGCTTCTTGCCTCTTCTGGAACCTCCCGGTCTGGATTGGAACTCCCCTCGTCCAAAGCCAGCCGCACGAGCGAAAGGTCCAGAGTGGCAGCCGAAACCTGGCCACAGAAATCATCACATGACTGAGCTGTGCTGCAAGCACATCTTTCACGTTCTCGACGTGCCTCGCTGTGAACGCGTGCGCGCAAACCGTCCACCCTGACCTGGACCCGTGGACAATCGTTCTTCGGCACAAGTACATGCGTTGACACTGTCGGGCCTGCAACTGGCGTAGGGCTGCCTGCCCACTGCAGGACAAGGCTGCTACAGACAAAATGTTCCGGCGCACTGCACAAGCGAATCTAAGGATTTTGCGTGCCCAAGACGTGCTGCCATTCCGCGTCGAGGCCTGGGCAAAACTCGGTAACAAGTGCAATCCGCAAACACGCCACTGTCATTGTCAGACTGGGATCGCACTGTGTTTCTTCGGCACTTGAAACCCGCGCTGCTTCAACCCGTGCCTGCCAAACAAAGAGAAATGGGTAGACACAAATGGACACAAATGGACACCACATCTTCTGTGAACCTCGACTTTGTTTCTTTTGCGGTGGCGCCACCTGGAGAGGGCTCCAAGAGTGCTCCAAGGATGGACAAGTGATGACAAGTGTACGTCATCACGGACGGTGCCTTGTCAGCTCCTCTTCTGCTTTAGCTTGGGCCTGTTTGATGCCCAGTTCGCCATGCCATATTCATGATCTAACATGTTATACCCTGACGCACCTCCGCAGCATCTGCTGATTCGGATGACGTTTCTTTTTGCGCCTGCAGTAAATCGGACCCTTAAATACTAGCGCTGCTGCGTGTTGTGGCAGGCCTCAATTTCGATCCAAACATCTTTCACGGTGAGGACCTCTCAGGCCCGACATGCTTCCGGAATGATGCCGAATGTCGAATGCGAGGCAGGCACGGTCGGCTCAGAACCCAGATTACGCCACGGTATTCTCGCGAACACCTTGGTGCCAACATGTTCAGCACAATCGCAACGTTACGTGCGCATAACCGACCGTCTGAAACAACCAAGGCCTGCACGCTAACATCGCTGCTGAGCAATTCTAAATGTTGATCTCGGAGAAGTTCCGCATGCACCCGAACCTGAGACTTGCAACGCGTTAAGTGTACTGTCAAGGTAGCCCCTGTAGATACCGGAAAGTTTTTCGGCCGGGATATTTGCCCAAAAAAAGTTTGTTTCCTGAACGATTGCCATGATGTTAGATCGTTTACATCCTGATATCCCATGTTCGTGAGGTGAAAATCCGAAAAGGGACTGCATGTAAATACCGGAAAGTTTTTCGGGAGGATGTCCCAAATATGGCTTTGAGAAAACTCTTGTTGCAAACTCTTTTCAATCGAGGCAGAGACCGTACAGGCCAAGCTGAGATATCCTGATCTGCGAAAGCATCGATTCCTTGCTAAATGCCTTTCAAGAAACAACCCGCAAACAAATCCGTCAAGGCTGCCTACCTCGTGCTCTTTGAATGGCAATAAAAGGCGTATTAATAAAAAGAAAATCCTGCCCAACAAAAATGCCCATCCGGCCCTCCCTCGAAGGAGAAAGCCTCCCTGCCCAGGCTCCAGACCCAGAAATCCTGACATGCACAGTCAGCCGAAAGCATCGATTCCGTAGGCACAAGCAAAGTTCAAGAACATGTCCACAGGCACAGAAGGCCCAGCCAAGACCCAGGAAGGCCGCCCAAGGTTTCATGTTGTTCTTACCCGGCGCCGGAACAAATCTTGGAGGTTTTACTAAAGCGACCCCAACATTACAGTGCACCACAACATCTTGACATCATACCGAGCTCAAGACATGACGAATTTCCACCTGTTCGGTCACAACATTGCCAATTACAAGCCGACACTGTTGCCAAACGCGACACATCGCGACACAATGCCATGCTAGCCGCGCTTGCCTCGCCGACCTCTAGGCTCAAAGAAGCCTTCGCAAAACTGCACTGCAGAACTACATGTTTGCAACACTGGCTGTTCGATACTCTTGTTTTGCATGCTTTTCTTGATGCATCGTCCCGGTGCAAAAAAACAGCTGGGAGGGGAAAGTCCACAAAAAAACGAGCGCCGCCGATAAACGAACAACCATGTATTTTCTTTGTTTTTGGTTTTTGTTTTTCTTTGTTTTGCCTGCCTCGTCCAAGAGTCATCAATGGCTTGCTTGAGATGAGGATGTTGACGGAGCTGTTCGAGTGGCTTTGGTTTTTTTGCCGCGCTTGTATGAGGTTATCTGGGTCCCAATGTGCTCACGACATGCGGCCAGCCGCCGAGGGCGACGGGCAGTCAGCCAAGGCGAGTCACTGTCGAACAAAACCACGCCCCGGGAGCAGGCTCTGCCCACTTATGCCGGGAAGCCGGGGCACGCGTCGCCGCAAGCACGTCGTTTACCAGCTAGCCGAGACACATGGGAGGTCCGCACTGTTTTTTTGCGCCTGCAACGTTTGGGTGGGGCCACTACGACCTCAGTGGCGGCATGCTGGGTCCCGCGGCGTCCGCGAGCTCCAGCCCGGTCCTCCCGCTTTCGTTGCTGCCGGCCAACCTCGCCCTGTTGCTGACAGGGCCATGGCTCCGGCGAGCCCACGCCGCTACGTCGCACGACGCTGGCAGGGCCCGCATCCCTAGCAACACGAGGTCTCGCACCAGGTTCACGGCGCACGCGCCCCGACTTCGGCGCCGAGGACCATTAGGCGTTGTGGACCGGCCTGTTGTGAATTCTGGGTACATGGCCTGCTCGCGGCAGCCGGCGAGGCTCGGCCGCACGCAGCTGTACTCCTCCCAGCTCCAGGATGCTTGTTTGTCCTTCCAATCTGGCTTGAGCACCTGCGCTGCTGCGCGCTGCCTCTGAAGCCCACCCGCGGGCAAACGTGCTCTCCATCGACGCAATTGAAGCATGTGATGCTTGCCACCCTGAGGTCCTAGGAGTGCCTCCACCCCTTACTCCTCTACGTGCGCTAGTTCTTTGGGTCTGATAGCACGCAGGATGATAATGGCGTTTGCCACGATGTGCGGCACTGCGGCCGGAGAGCAGGGCGACCGCCTGATGCCTGCTGTCTACGCCCTCGCGCAGCACCCCGCCGTTGCTGCAGTCCAGCGGCGCTTGCAGGAAAGCAAGGTCCTCTTCGCTTTCCTCGACGACATCATGTTATCGCAGCGCCTGAGTGGATTTGCTCTTTGCTGGATGCCTTCGAGGAAGATTGCGGGCCCACGCCGGGATCGAGCTGACCTGGCCTGAACAGCGAGAAGAAAAAAGCTCAACAGTAGCAAGGCCCTCATTTGGAACGCCGCTGGCGAAGAACCACCCGGCATCTCTCACTTGCAAGGGGCGGGCGGGGAGCCTGCATGGGTCGGTGATTGGTCGCTGCTTGGCGGCCTAGTCCTGGACCGCCACACGCCCTCATCGCCTGCTGTTGCTCTCCTGCTGTGCCGCGCCTCGGGCGCAATACGCCTTGCGCACCTTGCCACCACTGCCAACCCGAAAGTCATTTGCGGCTGCCCGGGCCTTTTTGCCGGTCCGAGTCGCCGCCCCCAGCTACCCGCATGCCGTGATGCCGCATCTCCACTGGGACCGCGACTCTTTGGATCGGCGGATAAAGGCGTGGGGGGGGGGAAAAAAACGCAAACAAGCGGAATAAAAAGACCTGGTTCTCAACACTTCGTGATGGAAGGGGGCCCAACCTAACTCATTTAACACGGCCGCGCCCGGAGCCAGGGGGCCACAGCCATAAGCGTTTTGTTGTCACAAAGGGACACAGAACGAGCTGCACCGAAAACCTCTACACCTTCGCGCGGTGTGTTGCCGACATTTGCCGACGCCTGGCAGAGCCTGCCATGGGCCATAGGCTTTGTCGAGCATGTTTGTTTTCTCCGGCAGCATCCAACAAGAGCGACACGTAGCAGCAGGAATTCGTGCCCTCAATCAACAAATGGGGGCGCAGGTGGCTCAGCATGAGTCCTGAAACAACCGTCTTGCGGTCAGTATTTTCAAAGTGAAACAAAACGATATCGACATATATACACAAACTGAGAGGTAAGCCACCTCAGCTGTCGCAAAATCGGCCACCTGTGATTTCGCTGAGCCCTGACGCCGCTGGCGCCGTTCAACCCACCGGTGTTGCGCCCACTCGCATCGACACTTACGGAGCCGGCCGCAGCTTTTCATAGCTTCTCTCCAATCGGCCCTTCCCACGCAGGCCAGGTTGTTGGCTCCGACGCCTCGCATGTCGCTGCCCCCGGAGATGGATGAATATGTAGCACTCGCCGCAGCGTCCATCGCACGGGCGGGGACGGCCTGGCCGCGAGCACGCTCCTCCCCCGTCCACGCCGGCTGGGATCCAAGACGACGCTCCCCAGCTTCCAGCCGAGACCACTGCCCACCCACTGCGGCGTGGGTTGACGCTTCAAAGTATTCCAACCCAAGTCCGCGGCACGCTGCGCACGGCCTACCGGCAGGTTTCCAGCTCATCGCTGATGCTCCCACGCCTGCGAGGCCGGAAGTCCGGCCGGAAACTCTTCTACTTCGTTACTGCTGATGCGGCCTTGCGTGTGCCTGCGCCCGATGCGCTGGCCGTACTGACGAGGAGGCTCGTGCAGCTAGGGCATCAGTGCTCGTTCATTTGGGCGAGTTGTCCGCTGGGCGTGCCCTCGTTTCCGAGCCTCTCTCGCCCGGCACCCCCGAGACACTGCGCGAGCTGCAGGT